GGAATGGTAGCCTACTGGATTTTGATTTATTGTATCGGCTTCATATCGCAATATATTCCCGAAGTCTGAAATGCAAAAATGTCCCACATTAGGGCAATTCACCCTACATTTAATCATTCATACAAAATCATATTTCGTTTATTTTTAACGAAATAAATGTGGTGTAATCCACATAATTTACTGTGTTAATTGTTTACTGTAGTATTGTGCACATTACTTTTCGCTGCTTGTTGCACCTGGTTAGAAGCTAAACTGCATTTCGTTGTCTCAGTAGGCCTACCTGCAATATGTGCAATAACAATAAAGTTGAATCTAATCTTGAGCAGGAACAAATGTATTTAGGCTACTTAGTACATATCTGACATAAACGATTAAACACATTTGTGCATTCTTTAAACAGAGTCAAGCCGAGTCCGGAGGTGGCGGCACATTAAAGTGTGCACCTGATTGTTTAACTTGAAGGTGCCTAATGACATTTAATCATTTAAACTAAATCATATTTCGTTTATTTTTAACGAAATAAATGTGGTTTAATCCACATAATTTAGGCCTACTGTGTTAATTGTTTAGTATTGTTTAACTTGAAGGTGCCTGATGTGAACATTTCCAGAAGCACTCTAGCTTGAATGGCCTTTGTATGTATACAGTAGGCCTAACATAGGCGGCGCGTGAGGCTCAGGTTTGGGAAGGCTAAATAACTTTTTTTTTCATTTTACGCTGCCCGCCTCTATAGATATGGAGGACGGAACATGACTTAAGTATAAATAAATAAATGTATGAAGAAATACAGGAATAAATAAATAAATACGTAAATAAATAAATAAATACAGGAATAAATAAATACAGGAATAAATAATTGACGAAATAAATACAGAAATAAATAAATGTTGAAATGAATACACAAATAAATAAATAAAAGAATAAATGCATAAATAAATGCATAAATAAATATGGAAATAAATACATCAATGTATAAATAAATAAATAAAAGTCGAAAATAAAACAGAACACACGTTATTATATATCTTTCATTTATTTCTACATTTACGCGACATACATTTATTTATTTATGTATTTATGTGTCCGTATGCTAATGAGGTGGGCGGTCCTAACCTCAGTCTGAAGCAGGATTGGTTACAGGAGTGTGTGATCATTTCTGGCAGAGGGCTCTACTACTAACGCCTGGATAACCGCGCTGATTCGAATGCAGGAGCTTTACTGTTTAGCCCTTATCTTTATACATCCATGGTTTATCCACAGTTGTAAGGTTTATTTATGGATATTGATTTAAGAGCCATTGGAGATCATTTACGATCATTAGCGGACCATTTAGAGAATGGAGAACCAAAAGACTATGTCCAGTTTCGTGTGGAACGATGTATAGAGGACTTGGCTCAGCTCGACATGGATGTGGATGTTAACCCAGCTGTGTTTGAGAGTCTTCAAGAGGTTGCCCGCCAACTTGAAATCCTCTCGGAAACAGAGGAGGCGACCCTTGGGCGTCCATCTTACATGTTGCCCCTAAACGTTATTGAAGCACATCTTCGTTGGGGCCACACCGCTGGGGACATCGCGCAGGTGTTCGGGGTGTGCGAAAGAACAATTCGTCGGAGGATGACACAGAACGGGATACGGTAGGTTTAATCCGCATTCTTTCACGTTTTTTGTCTGGATTTCCTTACTTTTATTGTTTTGGCGTAGGCTATATCAGTGTACACATTTGTTAGACGCATTAACTTGTGTTTAGTAATGATAACGTTTCATTAGCCTACATTTTCTCCATCCAAATTAGCCTACTTGTTTACATATTTATTAAAATGGTAATAGGCCATTTATATGTTGAAACCAATACATCAGATAGACATGTGTCGGGGCAAAGATACAAACATGCTTTGTACACAAAGCAAAGGTACCATTACCTCAGACATGATGTAGGCCTAATAATAGTAATGAGGTTTAAGAGACCAGCTCATTTGTTTCAGATGACACCTACATCTTTCAATGCAGGTTAGTACAGAGCAACACACTCATTCTGATGTGTTTTGATTGTACAGTGCAAAAGGTGACTATTGTTTATTGTGACTTACTATTGTTTCGTTATTTTTGATGATCAGGGTCCAAGATCTATTAACTCTGTTAGATGACAACAGTTTGGATGAAACTGTTACCCAAATTCTACAGCATCATCCCAACTCTGGATACAAAATGATGGTGGGGTACCTGAATGCACGAGGGATACGCATACAAAGTAAGGGATTGTTATTATTATAATAATCCTCCATGCAGTGTTTTTTTTTTACTACTTGATAATGAATCACATTATTCTGGCATATTTAGGAATGCTTTACTTTTCATTATGTTACTTGCAGTACACCATATCTCTGCATTTCCCCGAATATAACAGGACAGCGTGTCCAGGAATCCATGCGGCGTGTTGATCCAGGTGGAGTCTTGATTCGCACTCTGCAGCTGAACCCAAGAAGGCGTAGGAAGTACTTTGTACCAGCACCGAACAGTTTATGGCACATCGACGGAAATCACAAACTGATTAGGTATAGTATAATCATTAACACTCAAGCATTGCTCAAACATCCACTTCACTACAGTTACAAAAGATGGGACCATCTAAAGTGTTCTTATAATCAATCAGCTTCAATGCAAACCAGACTTCAAGATTCAAAGGCTATATTGTCATATGCATGATAGCTTTTTTTATTGGTTGGTTATGAAAATCTGAAGTCTCAGTCTCCTCTAACAATGCAACATACAATATTCTGTAGACATAAAAACAAGTTAAAACACTGCAAGAAGAAATATAAATGAAATGTATCAAATGATTAATTGCACCAAATTCCTCTGCATGCAAATTACTTTTACTATCAAAATTAAGATGATTTATGTTTTGTAATTATAACTTTTAGTAGGATAAGGCACCTTTTAAAATGTGTAAATGTCTGTACATACATTAGTGGATTGACCTTAATGTGTGCCTATACATATCCCTTTAGGTGGCGTTTTGTTGTGCATGGTGGTATTGACGGCTTTAGTCGTCTCATCGTGTACTTGAGTGCTGCCACCAACAATCGGGCAGCAACAGTTTTAAGAAGCTTTTTGGAAGCCGCCAATGTCTACGGTGTGCCATCACGTGTGAGGTCAGATAAAGGTGGAGAAAATGTTGACGTTGCACGCTACATGGTGGCAAACCGAGGAGAGAACAGGAATTCACACATTGCTGGCAGGAGTGTCCATAATCAAAGGTACCTTAAACTTCAAGTCAAACTTTTATCAAATTAAGTCCTTGGTAAAGATTGCAATGTCAACTATATGTCTTTAGCTATTATTAATTGTATTTTTGTTCGTCTTCCTCTGTGAGATAAAACCATAGAACTAAAAAAGTTATATTTCTATAATACAAACACTATAATTATGACACCAACTGTATAATTTGACAAGAAGGATAACAATATTTTTCAAACATCTATTTAGTGGAAGTCCCAGCACGTTGCATGACCGGGCAAATTACTGTTGGAACTTGGATTTTGAATGTATTTTCCAGTCAAGAGAACCTTACATTAATATTGAACAACAACAGTTAATGTGGCATAAATATGGCATTAGTCCGTCTTTTTTTATACATCCATAGTATGTTCAGCTGATATATTTCCTGATCCAGTTTCAACAAAGCTTACAGTATAAAAACCTCACCCAAGTTTGATGAACTTTGCTCAAGCAAAATGATTTTTGCTAAATCCAATTTCCAGCTTTTTTCCAGAGGCATTATTGTGCACTTGCCACTTAATCAGGAACATTTTCCTATTGAAATCGGCAAAAATGTTAATACTTAGCTTCTAATTAATGTAATTCAATTCTAAATTTACTTACCATTTATGGTAGGTGAAAGGTGATATTTGTAAGTTTTTTTTTTTTGTTCACTGAGCAGACTAAATATTTTCCTTCCTTTTTCCTCAAAAGGATAGAAAGGCTCTGGAGAGACGTTTATGTAGGAGTGCTGGATCTCTTCTACACAATGTTTTTCAACCTAGAGAGAGAAGGCCTTCTCAATCCTGACTGTGAAGTGCATCTCTATGCTCTGCACTGGTGCTTTGTGCCCCACATACAGAAGCACCTGCAGTTTTTCCAGCAAGGCTGGAACTGCCACCGACTAAGCACTGAGGGAAACCGGTCCCCACTGCAACTGTGGACTCGCCATGAGCGTGAGGCCCAGCAGGAACATATACAGGTTTGATTGTATTCAATAGTTTTATTTTGACTTTGACTTTACTTTCCTACATGGGACCATGTTAACACTAATACCCACTTTTTCTGTCATTACACAAACTGTTTAAAACAAATAATACAAGTGAGTATAGTTTCACAATGTAACAAATAGTGGCCTGTTGTCGAGGAAACTGAATGTGATGGAATTATTTTATTCTGCATATCATCGGCACTTTAAACACTTCTATGAGGTATTCCTAAAATGCTGTGATCAACCAGAACAAGCGGTTAAGGAAGATAATGATACATCAGGGCTTTCTGCTCTCTAATGATTTGATTGATGTCAGCTGTTCATGAGACATTAATCAGGAATTCCAGGAGATGATACAAAACGGTTATATAAAATGAATTAACTGACAAATATATTAAAACTTTGATTTTGGTTGACTCTAACTTTAGCTCTTGCAATTGCAGGTTGACATTGAGTTTGGAGTTGACTGGACTGGACCATGTGCTCATCGCCTGCCTCATGTTATGGTTCCTGAAGTTCAGCTGCAACGTTCACTGACTGACCAGGAAGTGGAAAGACTTCCAGACCCTGATGGCCCTCTGTCCAATGTGTGGAATGTCTATGTACAAACTGTGGGCTTATTGACTGAAATGCTACAGTAAATGTGTGTGTGTATCAAAAGTCTGTTGCTGTGGGAAATGTAGTCTTTTAAAGTTTCGACTAGGACGATTAGGTGACAATATTTGACTGAGTTACATGAAGACGCTGGTACCAAGATTCAGTATATTTCGATTTTAATACAATAAAAATTAGATGGTAATGAAGTTACGTTCAGTAGTCATTTGAAACATGTGTTGCACTGAACATATGCTTGTTGTGAATCAACACTTACTGTAATGCATCAAGAAATATACATTTGTTACAGTTAATGAACATTTTGTAACGAATATCAATTTAAAACTTTGAAAATATATAAAGATAAACATGCTTTCTTTGTTATGTGCAATAACAAGGAAAGCATGTTTATCTTTATATATTTTCAGTGTTACACAAACTGGCCGGAGTATAGGCATTAACTGAGTTTTTTTTCCTCTCTGAAAACATACATTTTTGGCCGGCCAAACAAAAGACAACAAATCTAGTACTAAGGTGTGTCCGTCTCTTCAGACCATCCCGAACCCAGTTTCAGTGCTCCAAATAGCAGCAAGAATGTCCCTTTCAAACATACAGTACTCTTTGTAATGTCCTGGAAGTTTCAGCTGGTGAAAGCATGTGGAAGAGCTGGGGAAGTTGCTCTCCACCACGGTCACATCCAGGCCATGTCTAGGAAGCACATTCCATCCTATCCAGAACTGCACAAGTTTCCCAAGGATAACGGGAGATGCTTTATAAAACAGAGAATAAATTCATTTTATTATAATTGCTTTCAGTTAATAGTTAAATAACAATAATGTTACTTAAATTACGCCTTGGATTGTTACTGTAGCTTTAAAGATAAAAACAGAGGAAGCGCAGCTTTCGTTATAATAATTACAAACTTTCAGTAAACAAAGCTTGAAGACGTTGTTTTACCCATCTCAATAAATGTGCGCAGGAATCCTGTGAGCCTACAGGAATCCTCCAAAGAGACTTCACTGTCTTCATCCTCATCCTGTGTGGGCCAGTTTATCTTCTCCAACACCATCTGACAGATTTCGTTTTGAAAGGAGCCCAGTGAAAGCACAATAATAAACAGAACATACAAGAAACTGCAGGTTTTGCTGTGTAGCAGCAGAGTAGTCTAAAGATACAGTTGTTCTATTGGTTTAGCTCCTTTTAAGCAGCAAGTAGCATCATTTCATTTCAAAATATGTTTGCGTAGGTGAATGTTTGTTTTAATAAACTTAAACAATGTAGGTCTGAGAGTAGTAAATAAACCCAATTTCTAACTCCTGTGAGTTAGGAGGAAGGATTTGACTGAGCAGCATGAGATCACTTACCCGTGGTGTGCACTGCAAATCAGATGCTCTTGGAAAGAGAAGGGGAATCGTGTCTTTCCTCTCCGTCAGCAGAGGCCAGATCAGTGTCTCTTTTAAACCCCTTCGTAACTGCTTGACTTGTCTGGAGGTTCTTCCAAGGACCTGCACAATATTTGCATCACAGTAGAAAAGCAAAGCAGCCTGATTGATCTAATAGCCCAATAAGCATGTTTTAATACACTATTAACATCCAAATATGTATTTAACAAAAAAGCTCAAATGTGATATGCCAAAATGAGGTCCTACTTCAAAACTTCAACTCTGATTAGTCAGTCTGATTCATATGACCTGTTAAGAATACTCACAGCATGGAGGATCAGTTTATCAAATAGCCATCTCCTGTTGTCACATGTGACTAGAGGCAAATCCCAGGACAGTGCCAACTCATTGATGAGCTTTTTTTCTTCTGATGATAACTCTGCTGTTCCCTCCAGCTAATAATGGCAAGTAGAATGAATTTGATAAGAATCGTTAATTTCTCAATACTTGTATAAACATTCAACTTTGATACAACATAAGAAGTTTAACTTATAATCAGCATGTTAGTTGGTAACCTGTAAAAGCTATGTTTTGTCAAAAAACATCTTATAGGAGGACATCTGTAAGTGTTCTAATGATATTTAATATATCAGTGCATGGTGTTTTATAATGCTTCAGTAACTCCTGCTGGTGCAAAATGTAGCCACTTGATGTTAACAGTATCTGAAAGTAGATCAGCTAAATAAATAATATCCAAAGGTTGAATAATAAAATAGGTTAGAAAAACATTGAACATACCAACTTGATTGTCTCACGGATATCAAGGTCAACACAGTCCTTAATATCTATTGTGGCTTCTTCTGGGGATCCACCAAAGAGCACATGCAGGACAGCTGGGCTCAGTCCACCTAGGCATGGCCCATCATGGAGGAATGAATGTCCAATCATTCGGCCAGCAACAACAAAGAAGTCACTCTCCAAAAGGAGATGAGAAGTGGAGGGAATCAGATGATCTTGTTCTCCTTCAAAAAGAAGAGTTCCTCCAGGCACTGCAAATATAGGAAAACAGTCAAAGTAAATTGATAGTAAAGTAAAGGACATAGATATTCAACTATCACAAAGCATTAGTAAAGGAATGATCAAACCGCCACTGGATACTGGTTGATCCTGTAGAAACCTACATGTTCACAGCAGCTACAATCACATCAGGTTTTAGGAATACGTTTTGTTTTCTGGGGTTAAGGGACAGATCTGTGTTCAGCCTGGAACTGGTACAAAAACACACATAACTTAGTGGCTGAGACCCAGCGATCAGCCATAGTAAATATTTACTTACCAAACTTCATCTCAAAACCAGCCTGAAGTTTTGACATGATGGTTGCAAAGAAATGCCGAGTCACACCATCACCAATGGCTGGATCTCCTTAAAAATGTAAACACACACTACAGACATCAGTTTAACGAAAATATGGTTTGTTCATTTTTTTATCTTGGATTTTGTTTGTAACCGAATTACCCTTAAGTGTGCATGTCAAGGGGCAAGCCCACTCAACATTTGCCTTCTTATAAAAAGTAAGGACTGCTCTTTCCCTTTCCGCTGCACTGTCTCCAAGATCCATAGTAAGACACAAGGATTTTCCAGTTGCATGCTGGCTTAAAATGTCTTCTTTAAACATCTTTGCTGCCTCTGTGGGATCTGGCGCTATTCTCCAATCTAAAAATAGTTTAAAAGGTTTCCAAATTAATATTGGATCAAGTGAAATGTAGAGAGCAACAACTTATTGCAATACATGATGTACTTAATAAAGGATGTTACACACCAGAGAAGCCACTTTCCTCAGTGGGATCGATGTCAACTACCTCAGGAGAAGGCAACATTTCCTGAGGTGGCACCGAGTGTCTTGTGTTCCTGGCCCTTGTTGTCTCATTTCCCTGTGCTCCTGTGAACGTGCTTTCAAATCTAACTTGACTTCCGGAGGCCCTTTCAGTTGTCAACTCAATCTGTACCTCACCGCTGCTCTGTGATGGTCTAGTGTAAAAAGAGGTTATTTCTGTTATTTGGTCTAGTATACTTTACATTACATATCACACTCTAGAAAAAGATGGGCATATACATAGAATGAAAAGTAAACCAAATGTTACTTTTCCTCAAAACCAACATCCAGAATGTATATCTTTCATATTTAAATGTATTATAGAGGACAGCAGAATATGGTGTTACAGAGGGATTGTTGGAACAAAAAGTACTAATATCTGGCCCCATAATTATAAAACCTCAGATGTGCTGATATGTCAAAATATTTTACATCCATTTGCAGCATCCCACAGCCTTATGCTTATTGGTTATTGTGTGTCTACACATGCAGTTGCAGTGTGCCTGGCGAATGTGATGTTTAGTTCTGTAGAGAGTAATACCTCGTGCAGTTATTGCTGTGATCCTTGATTCTGGAAAAGGGGAACTCCTCTCCACAGATGACACATTTCTGATTTGGTCCAATTAACACGTTGTCGCCTTCTGATCGACATGCCTGTAAACAAAATAGTTTTAAACTACATCACAAGCGAACAATTATGTTACTGTAAGTCACAGATTCCACTTTAATATTGTGACACCACTATAGAAGTGAGGAACTTACAGGGTCCAAATTCAGGGTTCTTTGCATTGGTCTAATGAAAACCGTAGAATGGCCAATCTGGGTCTGAGGGTCCTTCAAATATCTGACATAGTAACCCTCATTGGGACAGGGGATCACAATCAAGTGGCGACTTCTCGTAGTGCCAGATATTTTTAGCAACTCGAAACCGCCACCGTTCCGCAGTTTTGGATAGGCATCCATCAAGAATTCGAGGAATTCATTTGAATCTGTATGGCTGCCTAGAAATAGATGATACACATAAGAGATCTAACATAAAGATAATGTTATGATTGTAAGGGTAACTCAATATATTTATATATCACAAATGTACATTTACCATAAAAAATAGACAGAAAAGGAAAGAGCGATTGATAATCGTCATTCTAATGACTGACAGACCTTTAAATGTGAGCCGTTTTTCACCAAAGCCAGCAGCAGCGAGTCTTTCTTTGGCGTATCGGTTGGGGACTAAGGCTGCATTCTTGTCCTCAAGGCAACAGAATAAATGGGTATAAGAATGCAGGTGTGCAGGACCAGAAAGGGTTTGCCGCCCTGCCGTCCTCCTCCCTCCCATGTAGGGGCCAAACAGTCTTGAAACTTCGGCTAGGATCAAGTTAAGAAGATAAGCAATATTGAGTGCAAGGAAATAATGATTCAACGAGAATCCAGGGGGGAAATGTTGGTTAGCGTTAGCATCACACACTATAAATATAATGATCCCTTCAAGCTGGTGGACAGAAACTGAATCAAATAACTTGTCATTGGCGATATAAACTTAGTAAACTGATCGGATTTGCATTACAAATAATTTGATGCAAAGACCTACCGTCCACTGGGTGTCTGGGAGTCCCGTTATGTAACGGATGAGGAGGAGGAGACGAAACTGGCGCGTTAGCGGTCCTTGGTGCTGCACAAAACATAACATAGCGCCACATTGGGTACAAAACTGTACATTGGCATTTTAACACACAGATCAGTTTTTTTACATTGTCATATCAGTCTTACACTAGACCAAAACATGAGTCACTTACAGTTTTCAAGCTGGTTAGCCGCATCCCGCAGAAGGTCTGCCAGCGCCCTTCCAGCCGAAGCCATTATTAGAGAGTTGCCGACAATGTACACAGAATGTACAGATGTGACTTGCCACGAATCTATTGCTTCTGCCTGGCTCCAACAATTGGCGAATCCTGCTTCAGACTGAGGTTAGGACCGCCCACCTCATTAGCATACGGACACATAAATACATAAATAAATAAATGTATGTCGCGTAAATGTAGAAATAAATGAAAGATATATAATAACGTGTGTTCTGTTTTATTTTCGACTTTTATTTATTTATTTATACATTGATGTATTTATTTCCATATTTATTTATGCATTTATTCTTTTATTTATTTATTTGTGTATTAATTTCAACATTTATTTATTTCTGTATTTATTTCGTCATTTATTTATTCCTGTATTTATTTATTCCTGTATTTATTTATTTATTTACGTATTTATTTATTTATTCCTGTATTTCTTCATACATTTATTTATTTATACTTAAGTCATGTTCCGTCCTCCATATATAGAAACGAGATCAACTGAGTGAAAGCACCGCCTGCTGACCGATCAGAGCTCAGTGTGCGGAGTTTAAATCTATCAAGTCATATTACAGGAAAAAGGAAATGCAGTTTAAACTGCCGTATGCAGAGAAGACGCCGACGTGTCGCACTTATCATTCATATCACACTGACATTACATCATCAATCAGATCATCGATCACACATCGATATCACCCATTTACACTGCTCTTCCCGTCAAGAATATGAATAGAACTTAGTTAGATCACTTTACATTTCTGCAAATTAATTTTTAATCACACACGTCTCCCCGTCCCGAAAATGATAAATAAAATAAAAAGAGGAAACCATTTTCAAGTTCAGTTTTCAACGTTTTATTTAAAATGACTGACATAACACAGACACCATACTGTAGGCCTATCTGCTGCGGAAACCAGGACGAGCTATTTCGGGATCTGTTTTTCGGGGGCTCCTCAGTCTCTCATTTACCCGGCCCCTGATTAGAACACATCCTGGGGATTGTGTTTACAAACATTGACCAGACCGTTCACCAGCCCCCACCCCCCATGTTGCCCATGCTGTCCTGTGTTGCGAACTCTTTGTTTAAAACGAATTGGCCATCGGAATGTGTGGAGGAATTCTCCCAAGGGTCACATTCCACAGCTCTCCCCCCCCCCCCCCCCCCCCCCCACTCCTGTTATCTCCCATCCCCCAGTCTGTAGGTTTGTGTTTGCATATTTATATGCCGTAATTCCTACTGGTCCTCTCACGCACATGCATTCTCCTTACAGTATACATACATAGGCTATATGAGACTCACAGTGCTGGACTTGGGCCGGTACTCACCGGTAAGCAGTACCGGCACTTCTGGTTCTGACCCATGGAGTACCGGCACTTCTTGCTCAGTACCGGCATGCTGGCGGTACTCCGGTACTCATGCACCGTGCCAGTACTCAACACTCTCCCGCCGTTCTTATTATACATCCATATATATATATACAGCCGCCCGGTACTCAGTAGATGCGTCATGAGGTGCCGAACGGACATTCTCATCGCTCTAACCGCTGGAGTTTCACAGCGGCTGTCAGCTGTTTACTCCTGTCATTCAAACAGAACGTGCTGGAGAGGGGGCGGGGCTTATCTTCTCCATGTAAATACTGTGGTGGAAACGACTATGTCAAAATTAACCTATTTGACCGTGATTTAATAGTAATACACGTTTCAAAATAATAATAATAATAATGCCGAAGTAACAACATACTGAAAACTGTTAGTAAAACCATGTTTTAATGCTTTACAATTTACATACCTAGATGCACGTGTGTTGTGTTTATGCAGTGCAACTCCCACCCAGTGGGTGGCTATGTAGAGTGATAGAACAGAGCAGGCACGCCCCCGAGAGAAGGAAAGCAAGTCACGTCACAAATTAGCATTTCTAAAATGTTAGCGTGGATTAATAAAAGTGCAAAAAGACAGCGGTTGTCGCCGGAAGAAACTTCAAATACAGAGAATCCTGTGCCTGTGTTGGAAATTGTGTCTGATGGGGAGCTTTCTTTGGTTGATCCTCCTGCTCCAAGTTCTAGTGCATTAGCATTAGCACTAGCTCCGCCGCCTCCTCCAGAGCCTCTAACGTTAGCTGCTGCTGGCGCAACTGCCACCACCAACACCGGGCAAAGCGATGCACCTGACTGCTGGACAACGGACCAGGTGCAATATTTTTGCAAGACCAATGCATGGCTCCTTCTTAAAGATAAGAAGCTAGGATGTCGGATATGCAGAGATGTCAAATCTTTGGGAATACACACTGGACAAGGACTGAAACTGTCAACTGAATGGGGTGAGTGTGCAGTGTCTCATTTCGGTGTTGACAAGGGCAAACAACAAGCTAGCCTGAGAAAAAAAATCAAAGAACATAAAGAATCACAAGCCCATGTAAAAGCTGCTGACATCCTTACATCTGCTTCACGTGAAACTATTCAACATCAAGTGCAGTCTATGCATAAATCTGAATTAGACACCACTATCAGAGTTTTTCGAACGGCATATAAAATTGGCAAACATAGCCGGCCATTCACGGACATGCCAATTGATTTGAAGGTACAGAAACTGAATGGGCTGAACGTGGGCAGGGTTTTGCACTCCAATAAAACCTGTGGCGAAATCATCGACCACATAGCTCATGAGCTGAAGAAAAAAAATGGCAAAAGACATTACAGAAAACCAAAGAAAACTCTGTGTTTTGGTCGATGAATCTACCACTATTAGTGGTAAAACGGTGCTTGTTGTGTGTCTACGCTCAGCATTAGCTGATGCTGAGCCCGAAACGTTTTTTTGGGAGCTGATCGAGTTGGATGGAACAACGGCTGATGACATCACAAAGGCGTTAATGGAGTGTCTTGGAAGAGATTTTAACGAGGACTTTTTAGGTCAGTGTTTCGTTTCTTTTGCATGTGATGGGGCTTCAGTCATGCTAGGGAAGAGAACAGGCGTTGCTACCCAGTTGTGTAGTAAATTCCCAAGCCTGTTTGTGTGGCACTGCTCCAATCATCGTCTAGAGCTGGCAGTTGGGGATGTGGTCAAGGAGGTCTCAGGGCTCAATCATTTCCAGATATTTTTTGACAAACTCTTTTCCTTGTTCCATGCCTCCCCCAAAAATCAGAGGCAGTTAGCGCAGTGTGCGCAAGCAGTCGGACAGCGTCTCCTGGTGATAGGGCGTGTTTTGTCCATCCGCTGGGTGGCTTCAAGTGAAAGGAGCGTCAGAGCAGTCTGGGAAAACTACCGAGTGCTTCATGATCACTTCACAAATGCTGCAAACGACACGTGCAGGGATTCCAGAGACAGAGCAAAGTACAAGGGCCTGGATGATGTGCTCACATCTGCAACGTTTGTCAGCAATCTGGGACTGATGTACGATGCGCTCACAGAGCTCAGCGACCTCTCTCGGCAACTCCAAAAAAGAGAGATGACACTGCCTACAGCAGATAGGCTCTTAACTCGAGAAATACGAGTTTTTGAATCCATGGTCACCATGCCTGGCCCACACATGACTACAGTTCATACAGCTCTAGCTGAGAAGTCCTTCAAGGGTGTTGCCCTGCGTGAGAATGGCAGGCTTGTACAGATTCATGCAGGTCAGTTTTTCCGCAGTATGGTAGAGAATCTGAGACACAGAATGACTTCCACAACCTCCTCTCATGTCAGCACAAGATAAATTCCATTACATGGCCGGGAGGCCCGGGACAATCAGCTAATCCAGGACATGAAAGTTATCCATCCTGGAAGTTGGCCTGAAGAGGAGTTAGACGTACAGTATGGGGACGTAGAGGTGCTATGTTTGTGCGAAGTGCTGAAAGTGGACAGAAGAGAGACTGTTCAGGGCTTTCGCGAATACAAGGAAACCAGGGCATCCCGTACACCTGCTGCCATGGAGCCTCTACTGAAAGCAGTCCGAACCATCGCTGTCTCCACTAGTGAGTGTGAGCGGGCATTCAGCTGCATGAACGATATCCTTACTGCAAAAAGGAATGCTCTCTCTGTCAGCCGACTGTCCAGCCTGGTTTTCATTAAATGTAATGGACCATCACTAGGACAGTTCAATCCGGAACAGTATGTGAGGTCCTGGCTGGCAAAGGGAAGGAGAAGTGCTGATGAAAGAGCCTGTCCAGCTCCAGCCCCTGATACTGATGTCCCCAAGGCCTTCTGGAGCCTTTTCTAACAATGTGAAGTATATTGCAAAGCAGCTCACCCAGTGAGAAGACTTTTGGCATAATGTGCCGATTTGTACAGATCCTGGAGATAGAAGGACTTCAGACCAACCAGGGAGTTATCTGATCAGCTTGGTGTTCAATGTAACTCTTTACCATGGCTCAGACTTTGTTACTTGCAGTTACAGTTTCTCATTTTAGATTGTGCAAATTTTGCATTTGTTTTTACATGTTCTTTGTTCATGCTCTTTATCATTTTTCTGAGTTGGAAAGTTAGATTGCATCATAGTTTACTTTATACATATTTGTATTCTTCAGTGGTGAAGTATATTGCAAAGCAGCTCAGCCATGTGAGAAGACTTTTGGCACTTTTTCGTTTTTCGTTTTCTGAGTTGGAAAGTTAGATTGCATTCAAAATGTACAGAAATACTTAATTTTGTTAAAGCTTTTTATAAAAAATGCTTCTGACCAGAGCTTTGTTTCCTTGTCATTAATGTTGAACACCACCAGAGGGGCTCTCACCTGAAAGGTCTCTGCTTCATGTGTCTTCAGCAGAAGATCTAGACTTTGATTGCTATATTTTCAGTTAATATTGACCTTACTGAGCTTTAGCCATATCCGCTGCCTATCATATAAAATGTTAAGTACAGTGAACCTTTCTAAAATATACAGTAGTAAAGAGACAAACCCACCAGCATTATAGTAGCCAAATTCTTGTTTGTGGGCTGTATATATAAAATTGACTTGAAAAAGTTGCTGATTTTAGAGTACTGGCACCTTTTTCATTCCAATTCAAGCACTGATATGAGTCCGTGTATCTACGGACCATTTGTTTTTCTTTATTAAACAAGTTAACGGAAGAGCGTCTGAGAGGCGTTTTTGCCCTTTTGCTTGTTACCTTACTAAATGGTCTAATGGTCAGTGGAGCGAGGGGGGAGGCCTGCGAAACTCACGGAAGTGATTTCAAAACAAAAAGCACTCGTTTGCTTGGAACAAAGAAAACGGCCAAGACACACA